CCCCCCCCCAATCCATATCCCTTAGCAACGGCCCTGATGTTGTTAGATAACATTTATACATAAATTTTCAAATTCTACAATTGATCAACTGAATTGACACTATACCACTAGTTGTGAACGTTAGCGTTCAGCGATAATAAAGCTTGACTCTAAAATCTGCCAATGGAAAAAGTCAATTGAAAAGCGCTCTTAGTGACATAGAATAAAATCCAGTTTCCAAGGTGCATGCATGATGCTATACTGTATATGCATTATTATTAGCACCAAAAATTGTTTCGTGTTTGACCTTTTCACTATTTAGTAAACAGCAACAATGAGGTGGTGTATTGCCCATTTAGATTTAGCGATGTCTGTATTAGAAACATTTAGCGATACTATTGGTAACATCGTATATGGACTTAAAATACTCATTAACAATTCATAAATCTTGTGGCAAATCATGTCAGCCATAATATGTCACGTGGAGTGACTTTATATTCTTTATAATAATTGTTCATCCTAATTAGTATGATTATATAATTGTTCATCCTAATTAGTAATTTCTTTTGTAGTTGTATTTTAAGCTATTCAAAACACTCGAACTCGCGTTTTATCATATCTAAAACGCTCGGCTGTGCCTCGCGTTTTAAATAGGATAAAACACTCCTTCTCGTCTTTTATGGTAAAACACTCCTTCACGTCTCGTTCGTTTGGATGTGCAGCGCCAAATTTGTGGAATGATTTACCTTAACACATTCAGCAAGCTGATTCCATTGGAAGCTTCAAAAAACTCAATAACAAAATAGTGTGATTTTATCAATAATAATATATCTTTTACGAAACTAATAATATATATACTCTATAGTGATTATGAATGAATAGCCTGGATCGTCTTAACTATCTTTCATGTAAATATTTAGATTTTATTTTTATATTATTGTTATGCGCATGTGAGCATATTTGAATGGAACTTGCGCAATACAAATTAAATTATTATTATTATTTATTATTAAATAGTACTTAAAAATTAAAAATCGTTTCGACCGACTCGGTCGTATTTAGCAAACGTCGTGTATTTCGCGGCCCACGACCACACAGTCAGCTTTGAAATTTTTAAAAAGTGTTTCTAAATTGAAACTTAGAGATGTCGATTTGAAATATTTAACGAAGTATTAGAAATTAACATCATAATTATTTTATCTAAACTCTAAAAAACGGTTTCGGCTAACTTAGAATTTAGCAATCGTTATATATTTCGTGTGAAATTTCTGACCCGTCAGGGCCGTCACGCTTGCATGGTCAGGCATTTCGCAGAGGTCAGGAATTTCGCTTGACAGGGTAGTATATATAGTTTTTCTGTTTCACTAAAACCCAGGTGAAAAACTACGCTATTTGCTCTATGTGATATTGAGCACTCTTTAGCATTTCGTGAATTAAAATTAATTTTTACAAATTATAGTGTTGTCTGGATTATAATTTTTTTAGATAACAATATTATTTGTATAATAATTATATTAAATTATAACCACTCTTGTTTTCAATTCACAATATTTAATATTTAACAAATATAAAACATTTTCCGTGTTGATATACAGTTATATCAACACGAGTGGAATTGGGAAAACGAGAAATTGTATGGAAACACGACGAGTGTTTTCATACAATTTCGAGTTTTCCCAACTTCCACGAGTGTTGATATAACTATATATCAATACGGAAAAAATGTTTTATATTTTTTTTATAATATAGCGATGTCAAAAGCCCGAAGGATACGAAAAAGTTCCGTGTTTACAAATGGCAGAAAATTTCCCGTGTTGACATTGAGTTATATCAACACGGCTCTTAGCCAATCAGCGTTCAGAATTTACAAATCCTATATTATAGTAGTTTTTCACACAAACGTTTTCACTTCTACAAGCTCTTCAGGTGTGGCAGTATACGTAAGCATTTTGGTAGTGTTATTGTTGCAGTGCATGTTAGTACCTATTCGTTATACTTTTTTAGGGACGGACCATTAGATATTTGAGGGGGGGGGGACGATTTTTTTTTCATCCCCCAATTGCTTGCAAGAATTTTTTTTTCGGCAACATTCCTTTGCACGATATTTTTTTTAAGATGACCTAAAAAATTTTCCCGGAAAGTTCGTCAAAAAGTTCGGGTCGACGTTTATACGCAATAAATTTTTTTTCGATTGTCATATAACACCAATTTAGTGTTTTAGAATAATTGCATTACGATTTTAAAAATCACCCCTAGTTCTTGCTCGATTCTTTTTTTCAATAGGTTTGTTGTGCACGATATTTTTTTCTGGATTTTTTCTGTGCGCGAATTTTTATTTGGTATTTGCCCCCC